GGGGTAGGTGTCCTGACAACAGTGACAAGTTTGCATTACCAGGAGGAAAAAAGTGTGGAAAGTAGAAATGAAAAAAGAGGGAGAGGAACATGAAAAGAAGAAGGAAAACGCAAGAGTGCGTCCATTCAGGAATCCATCGCCTTCATAGCCAGGAGCCACCCCCAGGTGTCTGGTTCCTGTAGATAAGATAGGCAGGGGTTCCAGATCTTATGGAATAAGGCTTATTTTATCCCAGAAGACACTCACAATCTTTTCATTGAGCATGATCCAGGCTAGCTTACGCTTCATCGAGGCCAGGTCTATCTTTTCCAGGCTGTCACTCAATCAAGCTTGCATGTATCTTGTGATATAGTCCACTGGGCATTCAACAGTGCTGGTAAAGTATCTTTGGGAATGTTGACCATGGTGACTGAATGTATGAGAGAGTGAATCCTGGTCCAAAAGTGGAGAACCTTGGGACAGATCCACCACGTTTGGTGGGACGTTCCCACCTGGCCACAACCTCGAAAGCAGAGGATGAGGGGCCCGGCGATACATTTTCGAGAGGTGTTCCGGTATCAGGCACCATCTGGTGTACACTTTGTAGCCCTCCTCAACCAATGCTACCTGTTACACCTTCTGGATATGACACACCATACATGTTTTTCTCTTTACCTCGATAGGTAGAGCATAATGTTTCAGCACCTGCTTCATGTTCAATATACAGTATGGCTTTCTTGGGTCCTTCACAACAGCTTTGGGGCCTCCTATACAGTTGATGGGTTTTCCCACAGACCACATCTCATCTGGTTCCCCATGTAAGTTAATTGACTTGCACCATACACCAACAACTGCATTGTATGGATATTACTATTGCCATATGCTTCACACATTTGAGTGCGTTGAGGATCTCTTTTTTGTGCATTTCCATGTCCAGGTTCTAGCAGCACCAGCTCATGTGGACATATTTATGTTATATATCATTTGTTTGTTCTGGATTTTTGGTTGATATTCTGTCTCTCATCATTAAAATACACCTATGATAAAAATTATAGACCCTTCATTTCTTTGTAAGTGGGAAAACGTACAAAATCTGCAGGGGATCAAATCATTATTTCCCCCACTGTAGATTGATATGCACTTCATATATATTTGTAGTCATGTGCTCTTCATTGATAATTGATACTTCAGAATTAAAATGTTCTGTGTAACTGCTGGGCAATACAGCGGACCTGTCACCAGATATATTATAAATGTGCAGCATGTCGTCTGTGTAACCCTTCCAGGTATTTATTACCTCCCACAGAGATCACATGACTCCTCCTGACAGTGTCTTTCATCTTCGATTCAGGGCCAACACAGTCATGTAATCCTGTGTTCTGTGCAGTTCTTGGCTGTGTTCACAAATGACTGACACACATCAGCCCCTGCTGCAGGCTCTCACCTTGTGACTTGCTACAAAGTTACAATGTACAGTCTGATCACTGGGGTAGGGAGAATGAGGAAATGCCTCCTCCTCCTTCTACAAAGTTACAATGTACAGGCTAATCACTGGGGGAGGGGAGACTGAGGAAATGCTCTCTCCTCCTTCTACAAAGTTACAATGTACAGTCTGATCACTGGGGGAGGGGAGAGACTGAGGAAATGCTTCCTCCTCCTTCTAACAAAGTTACAATGTACAGTCTGATCACTGGGGGAGGAGACTGAGGAAATGCTTCCTCCTGCCTGCGGCAGACTGATGACATCATCACAGCCTAGGCAGAGTCCCTGACTGGAGGTCAGGGGTGACTTTTTTCTAATGATAAAAGGTGGAGCTCTCTGACACAAATATACTGCTGCTGTACTGTATATTGTGATATGTCAGAAAATGATTCATGCATTCATGTAAGGTCACTGGCAGGTCCACTGTAATGTGAAAAGAGTGATTATGTGAGTATTATTACAACCAGAGCTTTTTTCACAAAGCATGGAACCCCCCCCTTCCAACCCCCCCATGTCTCCGCCCCCTACTCACCTCCAGCACACTGTTCCTTGGTTCCACCCCCTACCCACCTCCCAGTGTTGCCTCTTCAAAGAATACAGAACCAAGAATCATTTTGAGGTGCTATATACATTTGTATGGAATTTGATAGTGAAAAAACAAGAAAGGCAGTAAGATAGATCCCCTGTAGATAGCAAACAAACAACAGACCCCCCCCAGCAATAATGGACCTCCAAGTGACAAAAGATTCAGCCAAGCAACAATAGACTCCCTACAGTCAGCATCAATAGAACCTTCAGCAGACAGCAGCAATAGACCCTCCCTCAACAGTAAGTCCCTCCCAGCAAGGATCAACCCCAGGGACAGGACTGACAACTCATGGGGCCCCCGGACAATAGGAAATCATATGGGGCCCCTGTGTCCTCGCCCACACTCAAACCACACCTAAAAAAGGCTATGGAAGGTACCAAGGGCATCTCATGGGGCCCCCCTACTGACCCTGGGCCCACGAGCAGTGCCCGGTTAGAGTGCCTAAATGGTCAATCCATCCCTGATCAACCCCCCAGCAATATAAGACCCATCCAAGGCTACAATAGACCCCTCCCTCAACAGTAAATCCCTCCCAGCAAGGATCAACCCCCCAGCAACATAAGACCCATCCAAAGCAAAAACAGAACCCTTCCTCAACAGTAAATCCCTTCCAGCAAGTATTGACCCCCCCCCCCCAGCAATAGAAGATCCATCCCATGCAACAATAGTTCTCCCACCACAAAAATAGATCTCCAGCAACAATAGATCCCCCAGCAGCCAGTATCAATTGACCCTCCAGCAGATGAGATGTAAAATATTTTCTTTTTTTGAGGAATATTATCAGAGGAAGTTTCTGAAGGATTTTTTAACACGATATCATTTGAGAAGAACTTGATTTTAAAAAATTTTTTTTGGACTTATAGGGTTTGGACTGCACATATTTTTATTGAGGACTTATTGTATAGCATCTTCTGTTTATTAAAGAATGGAGATAGTTGGATGGGAAGAAGAAGGAGAAATAGAAGCTATAAGAAAAGGGACTGGCAGCGGGTCGGGGGAGGAGGGAGGGGGGGCTTGGGGGGAGAGGGAGAGAGAGGAGGGAGAACTAAAATACTTTTTTTTTTTCTCCCTCTCTCTCTTCCTCTTTGTCCCCTTTCTGATGATATGATACCTCCTCCAGAGTTTTCGTTTGGTGGGGGTAGTGGAAATTTTTTGAGTCAATTTGATAGAGAGAGGGGAATCGGGGAGGTTGGAGGAGAGGTGAGCCGTCCATGGGCGGAGGTCAACCCCAAAGTCCTAAATCAAAGGTGGGAATAGACCCACAATGATTAGCAGGCATTTTACAAGTCTAAAAAGGGGTGGGGGAAAAAAATGGGAGGGAGATAGGAGGGGGGAGGGAGGGGAGGGATGGGAGGGGGATGGTGGTTAGGTTGGAAGGTCGGGGGGGAGGGATTTTAGGGTCAATACTCTGCATGATAGAGGGAGGTATAAAAGCAAGGAAAGAGGAGGAGGAGAATTGGAGGAGAGGTAGAGAGAATTAAGAAGAAAGATGGAAGAAATACAGTTTATAACATATAATGTGAATGGGTTGAATTGTCCTGGGAAAAAGATTTAGATTATTTAAAGAGTTACATCATAGAGCATCTTCAGTGGTATTTTTGCAGGAGACACATTTTGAGATAGAGTCAAACGTGAAGTTAAAATCTAAATATTATCCAATATGGTATTATGTGACTCTCCAATTAAAAGAGCAAAAGGGGTTGCAATAAAGCTAGCAAAGAATATGAGATTCGAGCTGGAGGATAAGATAGACTGATCCGGATGGGAGATTTTTGTTTTTAAAAGGTAAAACTACAAGGAATCGAGTGTACATTAGCCAATATATATTGTCCCAATAAGAAGCCGGAGATGTTTTTGAAGGGTGTGTTGAAAAAACTGATGGACTTTAAAAAAGGCCGTCTTATAGTAGTGGGTGATTTTAAGTTTTGTATGGACCCACAAAAGGATGCAACCTCTTTTGTGCAGAGGGAGGGGGGTAGGTCTCTGAGAGTTTTGAAAAAGGTGATCCACGAGTACCAACTCGTGGACATCTGGAGAATTATGCATATGAAAGATAGAGACTATACCTTCTTCTCAAATGCACATGAGATGTACTCGAGATTGGATTATATATTAATAGATCACCAACTTATTGAATTTTTGGTTAAAATAGAAATAGAGGCAAGGTGTCAGGGCTCCCGGGTATGACCAGAGGTGTGTGACTGACGCAGGGAAACGCAGACTTCAGATATGTTATAAACAATGTAATTTATTAACACTAACAATACAAACATAAACGCAGTGCAATACTAAAACATAACACAGTGCAAACAAACCAAACCAACCACCCACAGATAACAGTACATACAATGCAAGCGTCATCAGGCAGGCCGGGTCAATATCAATCGGGCAGGTAGGTACAGGGGGAGCAAGCGGAGAATGGTCGGGGTCACAAGCCAGGTTCAGCAGGTAGCGGGCAGAGTGGTACAGAGGGTCAGGCAGAGGGATGGTCAGGAACGAGCCGGGGTCAGAGCAGGAGAAGTCAGCAGAGGTCAGGATCAGGCAGGGTCAGCGACAAGACAGGAACAGGATGCAGGAACAGGATACAGGGCCCAGGAAAAACACACACACCAAGGCAGAGTCTGCAGGTCTGGCCATCCCTTAAATACACCAGTATAAGCAGTTTCAGATGTTTGGCTGGCTGCAAGGTGAGTCTCTGATTGCTGGGAGCACCCGCTGGCCAGCCCGGTACTGCAGCCCATAAGGCAGGCGAGTCCCACCATTGCTGGCCAGTTCATTCCTGACAGTACCCCCCCTCAAGGAGCGCCTCAGGACGCTCCAAACAGTCCTAGCTGGGCGAAATGTTCCACCGCCCGGGTCTGGTAACTGGCGGATATCAAAGACTGGCACACCGGGCAGGACTCCGGGCAGCGGCACACCGGGCTGGACTCCGGGCAGAGGCACATCGGGCTGGACTCCGGGCAGAGGCACATCGGGCAGGACTCCGGGCAGCGGCACACCGGGCTGGACTCCGGGCAGAGGCACATCGGGCTGGACTCCGGGCAGAGGCACATCGGGCAGGACTCCGGGCAGAGGCACATCGGGCAGGACTCCGGGCAGAGGCACATCGGGCAGGACTCCGGGCAGAGGCACATCGGGCAGGACTCCGGGCAGAGGCACATCGGGCAGGACTCCGGGCAGAGGCACATCGGGCAGGACTCCGGGCGGAGGCACATTGGATCACCAGGCGAAGCAGCAGGCAGCGGGCCACCAGGCGGAGCAGCAGGCCCGGGCCCCCAGGCGGAGCAACAGGCACCGGGCCCCAGGTGGAGCGGCAGGCACCGGGCCCCCCAGGCGGAGCGGCAGGCACCGGGCCCCCAGGCGGGGCGGCAGGCATCGGGCCCCCAGGCGGGGCGACAGGCATCCGGCCCCAGGCGGAGCGGCGGGTGCCGGACCCCCAGGCGGAGCGACAGGTCTCGGGCCCCCAGGCGGGGCGGCGGGCGCCGGGGACCCCAGGCGGAGCGACAGGTCTCGGGCCCCCAGGCGGGGCGGCGGGCGCCGGACCCCCAGGCGGAGCGACAGGTCTCGGGCCCCCAGGCGGGGGGGCGGGCGCCGGACCCCCAGGCGGAGCGACAGGTCTCGGGCCCCCAGGCGAGGCGGGGCGGGCGCCGGACCCCCAGGCGGAGCGACAGGTCTCGAGCCCCCAGGCGGAGCGACTGGTCTCGGGCCCCCAGGCGGAGCGACTGGTCTCGGCCCCCAGGCGAAGCGAACTGGTCTCGGGCCCCCAGGCGGAGCGACTGGTCTCAGGCCCCCAGGCGGAGCGACAGGTCTCAGGCCCCAGGCGGAGCGACTGGTCTCAGGCCCCCAGGCGGAGCGTCTGGTCTCAGGCCCCCAGGCGGAGCGACTGGTCTCAGGCCCCCAGGCGGAGCGACAGGTCTCAGGCCCCAGGCGGAGCGACAGGTCTCAGGCCCCCAGGCGGAGCGACAGGTCTCAGGCCCCAGGCGGAGCGACAGGTCTCAGGCCCCCAGGCGGAGCGACAGGTCTCAGGCCCCCAGGCGGAGCGACAGGTCTCGGGCCCCAGGCGGGGCGGCGGGCGCCGGACCCCCAGGCGGAGCGACAGGGTCTCAGGCTTCCAGGCGGAGCGGCGGCGCCGGACCCCCAGACGGAGCGACAGGTCTCGGCCCCCAGGCGGAGCGGCGGGCGCCGGACCCCCAGGCGGAGCGACAGGTCTCGAGCCCCCAGGCGGAGCGACTGGTCTCGGGCCCCCAGGCGGAGTGACTGGTCTCGGGCCCCCCAGGCGAAGCGGACTGGTCTCGGGCCCCCAGGCGGAGCGACTGTCTCAGGCCCCCAGGCGGAGCGACAGGTCTCAGGCCCCCAGGCGGAGCGACTGGTCTCAGGCCCCCAGGCGGAGCGTCTGGTCTCAGGCCCCCAGGCGGAGCAACTGGTCTCAGGCCCCCAGGCGGAGCGACAGGTCTCAGGCCCCCAGGCGGAGCGACAGGTCTCAGGCCCCCCAGGCGGAGCGACAGGTCTCAGGCCCCCAGGCGGAGCGACAGGTCTCAGGCCCCCAGGCGGAGCGACAGGTCTCAGGCCCCCAGGCGGAGCGGCGGGCGCCGGACCCCCAGGCGGAGCGACAGGTCTCAGGCCCCCAGGCGGAGCGACAGGTCTCAGGCCCACAGGTGGAGCGACTGGTCTCAGGCCCCCAGGCGGAGCGACTGGTCTCAGGCCCCCAGGCGGAGCGACTGGTCTCAGGCCCCCAGGCGGAGCGACTGGTCTCAGGCCCCCAGGCGGAGCGACTGGTCTCAGGCCCCCAGGCGGAGCGACTGGTCTCAGGCCCCCAGGCGGAGCGACAGGTCTCAGGCCCCCAGGCGGAGCGACAGGTCTCAGGCCCCCAGGCGGAGCGACAGGTCAGGCCCCCCAGGCGGAGCGACAGGTCTCAGGCCCCCAGGCGGAGCGACAGGTCTCAGCCCCCAGGCGGAGCGGCGGGCGGGCGCCGGACCCCCAGGCGGAGCGACAGGTCTCGGGCCCCCAGGCGGAGCGGCAGGCACCAAGTCACCAGGCACGACAGTGGGCTCCGAGTCAACTGGCATGACCGCTGGCACTGGGTCAGACATTGGATCGTCTGGCTGGACAGCAGGCATCGGGTCTCCAGGCATCAGGTCATTTGGCTCGACAGCGGGCACCGCGTCATCTGGCAAGGCAGTGGGCTCCGAGTCAACTGGTATGACCGCGGGCACTGGGTCAGACATTGGATCGTCTGGCTGGACAGTGGGCATCGGGTCACCAGGCATCAGGTCACTTGGCTCAAGAGCGGGCACCGCGTCATCTGGCAAGACAGTGGGCACCAAGTCACCAGGCACGACAGTGGGCTCTGAATCAATTGGCACGACAGCGGGCACCGGGTCATCAGGTACCGGATTGTCTGGCTCGACAGCGGGCATCGGGTCACCAGGTATGACAGCGGGCACTGGGTCACCAGGCATCAGGTCATTTGGCTCGCCAGCGGGCACCGCATCATCTGGCAAGGCAGTGGGCACCGAGTCACCAGGTACGAGGCGGGCTCTGAGTCAATTGGCACGACAGCGGGCACCGGATCAGGTACCGGATCATCTGGATCAACAGCGGGCATCGAGTCAACTGGCCTAATAGGATCGGCAGGCTGGATCAGTTCATCATGCTGGGTAGAGGCATCAGGCTGAATGCAGGCATCCGGCTGAATAGAGGCATCAGGCTGAGTAGAGGCATCATGGCTGAGTAGAAGCTTCAGGCTGAGTAGAGGCTTCAGGCTGAGTAGAGGCTTCAGGCTGAGTAGAGGCTTCAGGCTGAGTAGAGGCTTCAGGCTGAACCACGGAAGGCAGGTTCTCAGACGGCAGGCTGACCGGTTTGGATACTGGCAGGATGGTATTGGTTGGAAAGAATTTTCGCTTTTTTATGGTTTTAACTACTGGAGCACTGCAAGTAAACGCAGGTCTGCAAATGGATGGAGCAGCTGGAGACAGAGAAGAGCTGGGAGGATGGGACAGAGGAGGGAGCAGTTGCTACAGAGGGCTTTTTTACAGGGTTAAAGGCAGGATAGGTGCAGCGAGTGGGAACAGGGTACTGATATGCGGTAGATTAGCAGGGCAGGAGGAGCTGTTGGGAATGCAGGAATAGAGCTTTGAGGAAATAGATTAGAAGCAGGACTGGGTTTTTGTAGGCTGACTGAGGCTGGGTGCAAACAAATCTGTCCATGTCTGCAGTATGGGTTGAACAAAGCTGAGCTTACACAAAGTCTGTCTGGTCAATGACTGCACTGCGTTTATACACAATCTCTTAGTACCTGTGGTGAACATGCAGCATAATGCTCCAAGAAGCAATCCACATCATCCTCTAATAACCATACCAGGGACTCTACCTGGTCTGCACTAAATGGCGGCAAAAATTCATCCTGCATTCGGGGGTACCAGATGAAACCAACTCCGCACAAATCTGAATCAATGGCTGCACCTCAGAGAATTCTGTGTCCTGATCTACTAGAACATGAGCGAGCCGTATACATTCTAGCAGTTCATCCCGGGGATACTCCTTCAGAGTTTGATAAGCATACTCTCTGTCATCAAACACTAGCAGATATAAATACAAACCTCATCAAGATCCATCCTTCCCATCAACAAACCAAGATGGCTTCCCTGTGCAGCCCACTTCTGGTCAGGACGGCCTTGGTGTAATGTCAGGGCTCCCGGGTATGACCAGAGGTGTGTGACTGACGCAGGGAAACGCAGACTTCAGATATGTTATATAAACAATATAATTTATTAACACTAACAATACAAACATAAACGCAGTGCAATACTAAAACATACCACAGTGCAAACGAACCAAACCAAACCAACCACCCACAGATAACAGTACATACAATGCAAGCGTCGTCAGGCAGGCCGGGTCAATATCAATCGGGCAGGTAGGTACAGGGGGAGCAAGCGGAGAATGGTCGGGGTCACAAGCCAGGTTCAGCAGGAAGCGGGCAGAGTGGTACAGAGGGTCAGGCAGAGGGATGGTCAGGAACGAGCCGGGGTCAGAGCAGGAGAAGTCAGCAGAGGTCAGATCAGGCAGGGTCAGCGACAAGACAGGAACAGGATGCAGGAACAGGATACAGGGCCCAGGAAAAAACACACACCAAGGCAGAGTCTGCAGGTCTGGCCATCCTTAAATACACCAGTGTAAGCAGTTTCAGGTGTTTAGCTGGCTGCAAGGTTGAGTCTCTGATTGCTGGGAGCACCCGCTGGCCAGCCCCGGTACTGCAGCCCATAAGGCAGGCAAGTCCCACCATTGCTGGCCAGTCCATTCCTGACACAAGGACACTTTCGGACCACGCACCTGTCGTAATGAAAATGGGATGGGGAAGGCGGTGGATGGGAGGTTTAGGATGGAAGTTAAATGAGGCACTTCTCCAGGATGAGGATACTGCTCAGAAGATTGGGGAAGAGATTAAGCTATATTTTAAGGAGAACGAGACAGGGGAAGTGTCGATAGCTACAGTGTGGGAGAGCCATAAGGTATATATAAGAGGAATTTTGATTGCGATTGGAGCAAAAAAGAAAGAAGAGAGAAAATTAGTGGGCTTCTAAAAGAAATATTAGACCTGGATCAGATATATAAGAATAAAATAACAAAAGAAACAAGGCAGAAGTTAATAAGTAAGAAAGAAGAACTAGAGACGTTGATGGAAGAGGAGAGGAGAAGAGTATATAATAAAGTTTTAAGTGAGAGATATAGATGGGGAGATAGACCAGGAAAATATTTAATGAGAGCCCTGAGTAAAAAGAAAAACAGGAATTATATAGATAAAATAAAAAGTCCCAAGGGGGAGTTGGTCCACTCAACTAAAGAGATTATTAAAGTGTTCACGGAGTACTATAGAAAGTTGTATAACATTAGTCCCCAAGTTTCTTAAAAAGATATTGAAGAGGTTAACACTGAAAAAAGGAAGATATATCTATAAAATGCGGGTCTACCGAAATTAAGCGAAGCACAATTGAACTCCTTGGATGCAGAAATTACCCAGGAAGAAATAAAAGCAGCATTAAGGAGTACAGGGGCCGGGAAAAGTCCAGGACCAGACGGTTATACAGTGAAGTATTATAAAAAATATTGTGAATTATTGTTACCTAAGTTGAAGAAATATATGAATGCTTTGGGAGGTGGGATGGAGGTGAGGTGAGAGAATCTTTACAGGCCCATGTAGTACTTATTCACAAGGAAGGAAAAGATGCTTCTCAGTGCTCTAGTTATAGACCAATTTCATTACTGAACACCGATACTAAGCTGTACGCAAAGGTTTTAGCAAATAGGTTGAAAGATCTAATGCCTGACTGGATACATGGGGACCAGGTGGGCTTTGTCCCAGGGAGGGAGGGTAAAGATAACGGGTTGAGAACTCTGATGCTTATTCAGAAAAGTA